ATTATGGTGTTATTAAAACATTTTAATATAGCGCAACATAAATGCTATAATCTCTTTAGTTTTAATAGCACACGAAAATACGCTACGATAGGTAGGGGGTCTACCATAGCTGCGGCTGTCACGGCGTTCTTCGAAACGCTACGAAAACCCTATAATAGCGTTTTTCGGGTGCTACCAATACCGATATTTCTTGTAGTGTTGTGTCTAGGCTTAAGGTTGATAGTTTAATTGATCGCTTGTCATTCTTAGTTCAAAACTTGATCACCCAAGGTCTAATCCCTATGCCTATGAGTTCTCCTTTCTCTTAATCAAAGAAGTTATTTTAGTTATCGCTTTTCTTATTCTTAGTTATAGTTTAAAACCATCATTTACTCGATTGCACTTAGATTAAGTGAGTACTTGCATTCTCAGTGCTTTAAAATCCTTTAAAATTAGTTCGACAATCTTTTATATTACAACATTTATCTTATGAGCCTTGAAAACTCCTAACTTCAACTGGTTCAGACTGGATGGCTACTCTGCATATTGTAAGTGGAAATACTCTTCAACTCATGGAAAAGATCTTATTTGAAATGGTGTTCCAGATTTGTACCTATCATGGAGATGAATCAGAGGAGATACCAAACAGGATTCCAGACAGCTGATCAAGTGGTTCAGATCATTGATCGTTATAAGAGGATCACTTCTTTTCGCTATATGGCTGACCATAAGTTTGCAGGCTTGATGTGTCATCGGTTCGAAGTTTCAACGTAACACATAGGAGTTTTTTTTTTTTTTTTTTAAAGTTCTTTACAGCATTGTACAGTTGTCCTTAACATCTATAGTCCTATGTAAATATCTATTTTTCCTTGTGATCAATAAATTTCACATTTCATCAAACAAAAATATGTATGACGTATTCATGAATTTGACTTAGATGCATATTTATGAAAACATTATTGAATATATAACATATTTCCAAATTTTACAAAATATTTCTAAATACGTACTATATTTTTATAAATTTAGATATCAAATCATGAAAGTCTCTTCATGAAATTGATTTAGATGTATATTTCAAAATTATTACTGAATATATAACATGATTTATATGAAGATATTTCTTTATAAAATTTTATATTTAAGAAAATATAAGTCTTACAAAATACACATTTAAGAATTTATTTTTAAATACAAATTTATGAAATTTTTGTAACTCTTATGAAGATACTATACTTATTTAGAAATATCTTTATAAATTTATGAAAATATTATACATATTCACTAATTTTTTCCTAAATATTCATATAAATCAAATTCAAGGAGATAGCGCACATATTTATGAAAATATTTTTTGAAAAAAAATATATATTTTGAAGCAATTATTTTGAATTTTTTGATATAAATATTTATTTATTCTTATATATCTGCAAGAAAAGATATATTTTTGATGTACCGTTTTAGTAAGAGCTAAATTGGTTAATTTGATTTTTGTGAATTAGTTTGGAAACAAAAATACTATTTGGAGCAAGCAATTATTTAAATTATTTATAAAAAGGGGTTTTTGGCTTATTAAATCCCTAACTATTTGATTTTGGCCTATTTAAGCTCATGAATTTAATTAAGTCAATTAATTATTTAACTTTTGCAAAGAATCTTATTAAATCTTGAATTGTTTAGCTTTTGGCGAAAATGAGCTTCCGTTAATCTCATTAACGGCTCTGTCACGTTTTATTTTAACACCATTACCATCTCTTATGTTTTTTTTTTTAATTTAAACTTTTGCTGGTAATAAAATCATTTTTAGTGCAGTCACTTGAAAAAGAGTACAAAACGAAAGGTTTTAAGAAATGAGACACATTTTTATAATTTTAAAAAGACGAGGCAACTAATAATGTGGATTCACGATGTAGAAGAAAGAAAAATCAAATTTCTGGATATATAGTCCTCATTGTCGATGAGGTTTGTATCTCAGTTACTAACAATAATGACTCTGTTCTTAGCAATGCCTCGTAAATTTATTATAGAAAGGAACAAAATAAAAGAACAAAGTTTTTTAAAATAAAGAACAGACTTCTAAACATGTGTCTCTGAATTTTTCATATCCCAACATATCTCTTAGTAGAAGCAACATAGACAATAACAGTGAAAGATAGTTTTGTTGTTTTGAAACTCTATTTCTTGCCACACAAGGCAAGAGCCTCTTGAATGGTCTGAAATTCAAGGCATTGAATCCATAGATACATAGATTAGACCGTTTCGACTTCAACACGACTTGATCCGTCGTATTTCTGTAACCAGGTACGTTGCAAGAAAGATCCGAGGAGCTTCTTCTTCTTCCGACCAAACTAGCTTGACAAGAACTCGCGAGATTATCTACGTCAGTGCAATCTAGAGAAGTTATGGCTACCTTGTAGAGTCCGAACTCGTTAGTGGTTCTGTTTGCAGAGAATGTTACCATCTCGTTTGTTCTCGACGAAGCTGATTTGAATCTGCAGACTATTCTCACTTCCACGCCTGTGTCAAGCAAACATTAGAAACAGAGTTTTTGCAAGAGATATTCTTAGTGACGTTTTTGTTTTTTTTTTCAATTACAGGACATGAAGTAACTGTGTGTGGAGAAAGTGTTGTTGGAGCAGACGTCACAGTAAACAAAACCCATTACAGTTACTTCTGCATTAAGCCTTGCTGGTGAATGTTTTGGAGAAAGTGAGTTTACAAACAGAAGTTGCAGAAGAACAAACAAAAACATTATCAAATTCTTTTCCATCTTGAAAAATCTTTGCTTTATGTTATGTGGTTATGTAAGAAAGAGTTTGGAACAATGTGTTTCTAAAGAATCAAACAAGAAGAGATGGTAGCTCCACTAAACTAGCTTCAAGCTTCAGTTGTATTCACTTATTACTTTATATACAAATATTTATGCAGACGTGCCTCCTAGCATTGATTTTGAGGACAGTATAGAGAAAGTGGAGAGGGGTCCAAAGAGAAACGCAGATGGAGTGAAGATTATAAATGAGAGGAGAGGAAAATAATTGAATGCAAAAGCAGAGAAGATAGTGGAAAGACACTGAATGAAAGTGAAGGTTATAAATGTTTAAGTGGTAAGATAGTGAAAAGACAGTGAGAAGTTAGGTGAGTGGACACTTATTGAGACCTCATGCTCTTTGTTTCTTTTGGGTTTTGTATCTAAATCCCAGATATTGGCTCTGTAAAGGATAAAATGCAGAGAAAGGTGATGCCACTTAGGTCTTATGCATGACTATAGTTCCTTAGCAACGACTCATAAATTTATCATGGAAAGAAACAAAATAAAAGAATAAAATTGTTTAAACATGTGTCTCCGAATTTTTCATACCCCAAAACATAAAAATGACCAAGCTCCAAACAATATTATGACAAAAGAAATTCAAACAAAATTGTTCTTTAGAAGAAGAAAACAAGAAGATTTTATTCAAGATTATCCAATTAGTTCATCCATTCCTCTGTGAGATCTCTCCGGCCTACAAGTACCATGTTTGTGTATAAAATCATAACAAAGATAGTAAAAAGAGCTTTCAGGAAGATGACCAAAAATCTATGACTAAGATAATTTAAAACTAAACCATATACTAACCTGTTGCTTGTTCTTTACTGGTCGACCTCTAGGACGTTTTTCTATCACCACTGGGGATTAGAACATGTCGTTTTATTGTGCCCCTCCTCCTTACAGTGTGAACATGTAATTGTTCTACCATGACCTGTCATTCTTCCTTTCTTTGATGCATCTTCATGAGGCTCTTTACATCGATTATGATTCCTTTTTCTTCCTTTTTTTGGTCTTGGATCTGGAGGTATGATAGGAAATCTATGTAATCGTGGCCATAACTTCATCCCTTGTACAGTTCTCATACCTCAAGCGTATGTTTGCTGCCACATATGAGTAGTAAAATACTCAGATACATAGTCTTCAAGGTTTAGCTTTTTTCCAGTGATCACACGCATAGCATGACTACAAGGGATCCCTTTCAACTGCCACTTTTTACAACCACACGTTTTTGATTGTATGTCGACACGATATCCAGTCCCATGATCATCAATTTCATATTCATCACCTGTGGTTTGGTACATAACTAAATCTTTTGCATCAGCTCTACTCTTTTCAATCTCAGCTTGTGTTCTTTTTGTAAATTTTCCCTTCCATCTATTTCCAAGCGTAGACCGTTTAGCATTACGTACCATTGTTTGCCTTCTGATGTCCTCTAACATGTCAAGCAATGGCTTTCTCCTAGCTTCTCTAATGGTTTTGTTGAAAGACTCAGACAAGTTGTTTGAGTTGTCAATAGTACAAGATTCAGTCCTAAAGAAAGCTCGAGACCATGTAGTAGGTCTAGTGCATAGAAGGGATTCATATGCACCTGAATTGTAAACTTTTAATGCTTCTAGGTTATCTTCGTAGTCTCCGGTAGTATAACTTCGTGCTATCTTCCAAAACATGGGCTCCAACTCTTTATCTTTGTTAGTTTTCCTCCAATTTGCAAGGATATGTCGAGCACACATTCGATGTTCGGCTTGCGGAAGCTCTTTATGAACAGCGTTTACCAAACCCTGAGAAAATTAACATAAAAATCAGGAATATAAACATAATATTAAAATTAGATATATATACTCAGAACCACTGCAAGAAACCTTTTGTTTATCAGATATGATTGTTATAGTGTTTCCTTGTCCAAGATCCAAGTCACTTTGGATATGCTTGATGAACCACTCCCAATTATCATTGTTTTCAATATCAACTATAGCCCATGCGATAGGAAAAATCCTATTATTGGCGTCTCGACCAACTGCAGCCAACAACTCGCCCTTTATATCCCACTTTAAGAAGGCACCATCTAATCCAATAATTCGGCGACATGTTTGCTTCCAAGCTTCCCGTAGCGCTTCAAAGCATATATAAATTCGGTAAAACTTGTGTTCAGTTTGTGTTGGACCTGGAAGTGTCTCAATATCCACTGTGGACCCTGGGTTTGATATAAGGATTTCTTTCTCGTAATCCCAAAGTCTACCAAATTGTGTTCTGTGCGTCTTCCTTCTTTGTTCCACCACCTTTTTCTTTGCATGTTCACACTGAAACAATGTAACATTCAAATTGTAGTCTGTCTTTATAGCATTCATCATATCTGTAGGTGAAAGCTTTGGGTTCAATCTAAGAGGTTCCTCAAAGAGCTCAGCAATCGCAGGAACTTTTAGCATCTTTGTATAGCCGGATCTATTGCAGACATGTTCATCTATATAAACTTTAATCATCAGCTTGTTTTTTGACTTCTCAAACGAGCAATAAACTCTCCAAGGACACTCCGTCGATGAACAAATTGCCCCAAGCTTCTTAGTCGTTGACTTGTAGAGATTTATATCATATTCTGTCTTCAAAGAATACTTAAGCAAAGCATACTTGAAATCTGCAGCAGTATTGAATGTTTTTCCTAAATGCAAAAGTTCATCCGGATCAATATAATTTGCATGAAACTGTATCCTATTCTCATCGTCTTCGTACTCATCCTCAGAGGAATCAGAAATATGAGGAATTGTATCATCCTCAAATAACTCACAACCACTATCATCATCACTTACCTCATCATGAGCAATATCTCCAAACAAATCCTCTAATTGTGAACACACACCTTCTTCAACCCTATCACAATTATCAACGTCATTCTCATCAATACTGTTTCTTCCATGAGTTGCAGAACTTAAACCTTTGTTTATGTCTTCTCTACTACCGTATTCAATATCAATATCAACGAATGTTGCTTCAGAATTGTTTACTGGAATATCTCCGGTCATAGAAAAACTATTAATACACAATAAAATTAGTTAAATCAAAATTTAATCAATCCAACCCAAAAGAAAGAATCAAACAATATACTATTACCAACACATATGGCACTTACCTCTTGGTCAATCTTCTAACTTCTAGTTTTTGTTTCCCACTATGCATCGTGAGTTTGCTTAGTTAAGAAATTGAGGGTTTCAAAGAAAATTAGGGATTTGATAATTTATAGAAAACGTGTGAAAGAAAACGGTGTTAGAAGATTTCATAACAGAGACGTAACTAAACGATGATGTACGAAGTTTAGGTTCTTTTTGGCCAGAAAATATAAAATTTATGATTTAATAAGATTCTTTGCAAAAGTTGAATATTTAGTTGGCTTAATTAAATTCATGAGCTTAATTAGGCCGGAATTAAATAGTTAAGGACTTAATAAGCCAAAAAGCCTATAAAAAGTAAAAATATATACATTTAGGATTAGCGAAAAAGACAGCAGGGAACCGGGTGGACTCGACCCGGACAGCGAGTAGAAGAAAGTCAATATTTGGACAAGAACACACCTCCTTCCTTCACTTTCTTTCTTATTTTTTTTTAACAAACTCTCTCTTCGACTGTAAGTTCCCTCTTCTTCATCTTCCAACCGATCTCACTTTACTTCAACACATAACTGATTCAAGTTTGAAATTGTTCGACTTCTGGATTCAATTCTCTATATCTTAGCGGTTTTAGAAATTGATTTCTATTTTCCAATTGATTTAGGAGAAAACATAAACACTTCTTCTTGTTTCAACTGCTAGCTAAAAGGTTTCATTATAAGGGGATTCATGAGTTGTGGCACCAATGGAGTCAAATCTCAAGTTATCAGTGGCCATCGCGAGAAGTTTGTTAGGTATATATACTTCTTTCTTCTGCTTCTTCTTTGATGAATCTTGAATTTATTGAGTTTTCTTGAATTCTTTTTTTTTTTTTTATAACAGGTTGGATAGTATGGACTTACGGAGTCCTGAAGCAGGTCTAAACAAATGCACATTAAACATACAACGACCTAAACGTTTTGCTCAAGGAACCAAAACATCATCTGGTTCTTTCAAGAAAGGTTTCAGAAAAGGATCCGAAGGGCTTTGGTCTATTGGTAGATCCATAGGACTCGGTGTTTCGCGTGCTGTCTTCCCAGAAGATCTCAAAGTTTCAGAGAAGAAGATATTTGATCCACAAGACAAGTTTCTTTTGCTCTGCAACAAGCTCTTCGTAGCTTCTTGTATCCTCGCTGTATCCGTGGACCCTCTCTTCTTGTATCTTCCTTTCATCAACGATAAAGCCAAATGCGTTGGTATAGACCGGACGCTAGCGATTGTGACAACCACGTTGAGGACAGTTATAGATTCTTTTTATCTCTTTCACATGGCTTTAAGGTTTAGAACAGCTTATGTTGCTCCTTCTTCGCGGGTTTTTGGTCGTGGAGAGCTTGTGATAGACCCTGCACAGATAGCTAAGCGATATCTGCAGCAGTATTTCATCATTGATTTGCTTTCTATACTTCCCGTTCCACAGGTATAACAATATAATTCTTAAACATATCTAAGTTACTTTGTTTATGATTTTCGACATCTTTTCAGATTACAGTGTGGAGGTTCCTCTACACCTCTAGAGGTGCAAATGTTCTGGCAACAAAACAAGCACTTAGATACATTGTGTTAGTCCAATACATTCCCCGGTTTCTTCGTATGTATCCTTTAAGTTCAGAGCTGAAGAGAACCGCAGGAGTATTCGCTGAAACTGCTTGGGCTGGTGCAGCTTACTACTTGCTACTTTACATGCTTGCTAGTCATGTAAGTTACCATTATATCCCTTCTTTTGTTTCCTTTCACGCAAATATGTTTTCGTTTATTCGCAGATCGTTGGGGCGTTGTGGTATTTGCTTGCCTTGGAACGCAACAATGACTGCTGGATCAAGGCTTGCCACACGACCGGAAGCAACTGTACCAGAAACTTCTTGTTTTGCGGTAACCAAAACATGAAAGGTTATGATGCTTGGGACTCTGTTAAAGACCCGTTTCTTCAGCTACATTGTCCTGTCAATGTCACTGATGGCGAAGAACCTCCCTTTGATTTTGGGATCTACTCGAGAGCTCTTTCCTCTGGCATTGTCTCATCCAAGAATTTTTTCTCAAAGTACTTCTTCTGTTTATGGTGGGGACTACAGAATCTAAGGTAATACCAAAAAGAAAACACTAATCCATCATCTTTTGTGTAGTCTCTTTTACTCTTTAGTAAACTCTGAGTCTTGCAGTACACTTGGTCAAGGGCTTGAGACTAGCAGATACCCTGGAGAGGTTATATTCTCCATAGTACTTGCTATTGCTGGACTTCTACTCTTTGCCCTCCTCATTGGAAACATGCAGGTAAATATAAACATACAAGAGCTTGTTTGGTTTGTATGTAATATGAATGAACCATGTAGTGACAAATCTGTGGACAGACATATCTTCAATCCCTTACTATCCGGTTAGAAGAAATGCGAGTCAAAAGACGTGACTCAGAACAGTGGATGCATCACCGAATGCTTCCACCTGAACTACGTGAACGTGTCAGACGTTATGACCAGTACAAGTGGTTGGAGACTCGTGGAGTCGATGAAGAGAATCTTGTCTCCAACCTTCCAAAGGATCTTAGAAGAGACATCAAACGTCATCTCTGTCTCGCCTTAGTCCGAAGAGTATGTTTTTTTTCTTCCTCCTGTCTTAAACTTCAATATCATCTTTATGGATTCTCATCTTCTTTTTATGTAATAAAGGTTCCATTGTTTGAGAACATGGATGAGAGGCTGCTAGATGCAATCTGCGAGCGGCTCAAGCCATGTCTATACACCGAGATGTCTTTCTTGGTACGTGAGGGAGACCCTGTGAACGAGATGCTCTTCATAATCCGTGGTCGGCTCGAGAGTGTAACCACTGATGGTGGAAGAAGCGGATTCTACAACCGTAGCTTACTCAAAGAAGGAGACTTCTGCGGCGACGAGCTTTTGACATGGGCCCTGGATCCCAAATCAGGTTCTAACCTACCGTCCTCAACAAGAACCGTCAAGGCCTTAACCGAAGTAGAAGCCTTCGCTTTGATAGCTGATGAGCTTAAGTTTGTGGCGAGTCAGTTCAGGAGACTACATAGCAGACAAGTGCAACACACTTTCAGATTCTATTCACAGCAGTGGAGGACTTGGGCTGCTTGCTTTATCCAAGCTGCGTGGCGACGGTACACAAAGAGGAAGAAACTTGAACAACTTAGAAGAGAAGAGGAGTTAGAGGAAGAGTCTGCTGCAAGGCTTCTTGCAGGAGGTAGTTCTTATAGCATCAGAGCGACGTTCTTGGCTTCAAAGTTTGCTGCAAATGCGCTTCGTAGTGTTCGTAAGAACCGGACTGCAAAGCTGGCTTTGTTACAACCAACTAAAGAGTTGTTGAAAGTTCAGAAACCTCCTGAACCAGATTTCTCTGCTGATTGCTAAAGGTCTGACTGAATCTCAGAGAAATTAAGAACATGTTTTGTTCTAAAAAAGGATACGTAGTTTGGTGTTTATAAATGCTTTGTTAACACCCAAGAATATTGTAATATAAAATGATTATTCCGATTATTCATTCCACAGAAATTGTTTTCGAGTTATTACAAGACAGTTTATAAGACTTAAACTTGATTGGTTCTTCCTTTCAGAAAGTTTTTGCAGAGAGTCTGCCATTGTTTCCTATCCGGTTCAGCGTCTTCCATAGTTGCTTTGGCCTTATCCGCAAGATCTTGCTGCAAAAAAAGAAAGAAACCTTCACTTGCAACATCAAAGAAAATGGACAGAGAAGGATAGAGAAGCAAAACAAACCTCCATCAACTTCAAACTGACGACACGATCGATGATCTCGAAAAGAATCTCTTTATTGTACTCAGGGTGGCCTTGGATGGAGAGGAAGTGGTCTCCATAGGAGGCCATCTCTACGTTGCACTTGTCTGAGTAAGCAAGCAATGTAGCTGACTCAGGGAGTTCCCAGACTTCGTCTTGGTGACATTTTATAATGGCTAGTGAACTTGGAGTCTTGTCTCCGAAGTAACCACCTGGTTTCACTGCGTCTGTTGCTATTCTTATGCTTCTTAGTCCCAAGTCTGCACCTCGACTCGCTCTTCCGATTTTTCCTCCTCTGATTCTACTTAGTATCTGGTTTAATTTCATCAACAAAGAAATAACGGATCATATGACAAACCTTTTGAATCATACGTTCGGCACTAAACCAGTGGTGTGCATTTCAAGATTGTTATGGCAAACAACTCAATAATAAATATTATGATGTATAAAGTAGATATGATTTATGTCAAGAATATAAATGGTGACCTATTTAGAGAAAATAATGAAGACATGTTATTCTCAATAATTAGGGGATTTAAGAAAATCATTCAGGTATATTTTCTTCATCATTCTTCCAAAATTATTCTTCTGTTAACACTAGTACCAAGAAAATATATTCTTTCAAAGATACACATTAACTTGTTCTCATCAATTTGAAGAAAAATAACGAAAATTTTGTTTTTATTATTCAAAAAGTTATATTTATTTTTAAATTTATTTTATATTTAATAATCCAAAATATATTTCAATATTCTATTAATTTAAAAACACATTTATCTGACACTTGGAAAAGAATTCGTATTCATGCCTCAGGAAAGTTTCTCATGTTTGTTCTTTCTGCTCTTAATTTTGTAGTTACTCGGAAGTTCTCAAGTATTTAATAAAGTGGTGCTGACTAGCTATTAGACAATCTCCAATATAAAACTCTATTTTTACTTAAAGTCCCATTTTCATCTAAGATGCGAACATGTGACATCGATTAATCTTTTAATTATATAACAGATAATCAGTATAAATCTGATATGATTGCCAGGGCATAGTGTAATAAACGGAAATGGGGTTTATGGAGTTTTTTCCCACAACGCTAATTACGTATAATCCAACGGACGTTACGGAACAAATCAAATCAGAAGATTTCAATCTAACGAAACAGAAAAATAGAGAAAAGTTAGGAGGAGAATTAACCTGATGGCCGAAGCAGATACCTAAAACCTTCTTCTTCATGACGTCGAGTTTTTGACAAAGCGAACAAAGCTTAATGATCCAATCATCATCTGCGAAAGCGTCATGGAGACTACCACTGATAACAAAACCATCGTACTTGTCCAGATCTTTCTCCTCCGGAAACTCGCCGTTGATCACTCTGAAGAGATCCCATCGCTCTCCTTCTTCGCCAAATGTCGACACGAACACGTTGAAATAACCTCCATACGCCTTCTTCACCAATGCTGAATCGCACGACGCTAGAAACAGAGCGAATCTCTTTTGCTCAACCATCTTACGTTATTATTTTTGTTATTTCGAGAGATTGATGGACGGATGGATTAAACAACGGCTGTGTGGTGGTGTTTTTATAGTTAGCTAGGGCAAACTGATGCCAGCTCAGAGATTTTGTGGCCTTTATTTTCTGATTTTGTCGTAACAAAATGATATTCTTGTTTTACATGTTGCACAGTAATTAAGTTTTATTTTTCTAATCTAGGTGTTAATATTTGTGAGTGTTAAATTTTATATTTTTATAAACTAATATATCTTATATATTAAAACAGAAGTCATGATTTCCTTATATTTCATTTTAGATCATCTCTTAAAAATTTACTTAAATGAATTATTTCATATCTTCTTATATATTAAAACAGAAGTCATGATTTCCTTCATGTGTGATATTTCATTTTAGATCATCTCTTAAAAATTTACTTAAATGAATTATTTCATATATTATACATTAAGACATAAGTAATGACTTCCTTCATGTGTGATATTTCATTTTAGATCATCTCTTAAAAATTTACTTAATGAATTGTTTCATACAAATTTGAATTATTTAACTATTCTAGAAAAATCAAATAGATATTCCTATATTTTCTATGTCTAAAATCTTTTCATATCTTTTTCTTAACAATATAAATATATTTTACTTCTTATATAT